GGTGGAAATTGTTCCTAGTGACTGCTATCCTACTCATCTTTCAGATGAGACATGAAATTGAAGCTCTCACTACAGAAAAATATTGCATATTTCACAAGAGGGGTGGGATGTTAGTCCTGGTCTTCTGGCTATCTTCCAGCATGGGTAATTCCATTTCTACCTAGCTAAAATTCCCTCTGCTCTACAGTTTTAATTGGACAATAGTTTCTTTTTAGCTTGTCTAAAATCCCAGGTTGGGGTTAAAACCCCACTGGCTAATTGAGCAGCCCTATTTTCAGTAGAGCTACATAGGCATTTCCAAAAAAAAATCTGGTTTTGTTCCCAGACTTAAGAAGCATCATACCAAAAGGCCTGATCTGACAGAGACTAGAGCAAATAAATCCTCCTTCAGCTTTCAGTCCCTAACCTCCAGGATCCTTGTGTGGAAATACCACCCTGAATGGCTCGCTGAAGGTCAGTATCCTCCCAGCTCTGTTTTGCAGCTGCAAAGGGAATGCTAAGGCAAAATTCCCAACACAAGCAATCCCATTCACATGGTGACACTTAGGAAGGTAGTCTGATTGCCCAAATAAGAAATATCCAGCAGCACCTATTCATTTAAGCATCTTGGCTGGTGTGCACAGCTGGCATTTTGAAAGGTACTTAACAGGATCTGCACATTCAGATCTCTAATACTCAAGAGCTTTAGTCACTGGACCTTTAATGTAACAATATTTTTAAATATTTTTGGCCCAGAACTTTTAACTGGCTCCACCTGAGCTAACCAATATACAAAATCTCACCTGCATGAAAGAGACACCTTTGCAGTAAAGTACTTAAGTGTATGATTACCTCCAACAGGACATTTACTAAGCTTAAAGTGAAACATGATTTAATGGCTTTGGAAAATTAGGCCCAAATTCATCAATTTTACAAGAAAAAGATGTCTAACCATCTGTAGGGATCGGTAACCTACTGAGTCACCAGACAGTTATAGGGCTGACAGGAAAAGAATATTCCTGTCATATGTGCTGCAAGGAAACATCTTCACAAAACTTTTCCTATGAATATTGTTCTAGGAAATAACAACTTTCCCAAGGCCATGCAGTATTATCTGGTCTCCTGAAAAGCTTTTGCTTAATCTATGTATACACTCCATTTGGAAGGCCATAACTAATGGGAAACAGTCCCAACAACCAGGCAAAAGATTTGTTTTCCTTTGCCTTTAAATGAAATATCAATGGATGGATATTTTATTTTTAGTTGAATATGAAATTTCACGAGAAACCTGTCAAGCTCCTGTTTTCAAGAACTACTTTATTTCACACTTCAAGACAGGCTGGGAAATTAGTTTTTCCCACAGACGACTCTGATTAGGGATTACAAAGTGAGTGTGGTGCAGAGTGATTTTTCCTCCATCTTTTCCCTCACCCCACAAGCCTGGAGCACATCTGACTTTGCTGACTAAGGGGAGTAATTCATTATCACGCATAGAAGGGGGACAGGAGGAAAGATAGTCATATTAAGTAGACTTGTTGGCCCAAGAGAGAGTAGGGAAAGGATAATAATACATAGCCCTTATATTATTCTTTTCATCAGTAGTTATCAAAGCACTTGAAAAAGGAGGTTGATTTGATGGGAAAGGAGATAAATGCCAATTCCAAGTAGCCTATTGCAGAGACACCAGCAGGAATGCTCACTTTCATATAGTCTCTTTTGACTGTGAATCTGCCAGGTAGAGAAATAAACAAGCCCTTTCCTTGGTAAAATGCAGAATTAACACAGATCTCAAAGTACATTTCAAACATTATTGACTTACCCACTGTAATTCTCTTAGTGTTTGGCAAAATATAAGGTCCAGTCCAACAGCCGGAGAGAGCAATAAGGATATTATGTATTACTAATAAATGACTGAGCAGACAGGACCTATTGCCTTTGTCAGCAGACAGTGGCTGATTTACACCATAGTTTAACTGCTTACAGAAACAATAAGAAGTCCAGATGAAGGGCTCTGCAGTTTTTACCCTATGGAAAATATGTCCCATTCTGGGGCATTTCTAATGTTATCCAGTGGATTAGTAGAGTCACTGGAGTAGAAAAAAGTCTTGTTCTGATGTAGATGAACAGCACTCCTTGGCTGACTCCTCTGCTAAAAAGCCTACGTTGGGTGATGTGATAGAGTTTACTGCCTGATTTCCTTTGGGTCACATGAAAGGGCTGCACTTGAGGAACCACATACAGAAAACATCAGTCCCAAGGTCAGTCTTCATATTCAAGAGCAATGCAGCATCTCTACTGGCTACATATCTCTAACTGCTTACATGTACATCTCTGCAGACCACTTTTAAAAAACACTCCTTTTTCTCCTCTTTCTTCGTAGTGTGTGCTCTAACTTGCTTCTATTTGCCAATGGTCTTTCTTCCCTGTGTATATGATAGTGATGTTCAAAGAGGCCCGAAGTCCTGTTGTGACAAGTAACCCAGAAAAACATCTCATAAGCGGCAGTCTTAGATCCCATTGGGTCAAATGGCTGCTGTGCAGTCACTATTACTCACATCAGGAGGAAAGAACACACCAGGGGCAAGAAATTCATGTGGATGTTACCCATGTTTTCATAATGCCATGTACAATAATAGCTTGGTTTTCAACAGTGTGAGGCATCATCAATTTCCTGAGGCAGTTCTGTGGCCCTAAGACTTCGAGGGCAAATAGAGATAGAAAGAAAAGGGGAAGGAAGACACCAACTTATTTACACTTCTCCATCTTGCTAACCATAACAGGCCACATATTCAAAACCTATTTTCAGAGGTGACTACTTATTCACATTATTCAGTTTCAGAATCCTCCGTGTTGCATTGTGCTGACCATCCTGCAGCCTTCACTCTGCAAATCACAACAGCAGCTCTGAACAACCCAATCTGCTGTGGACCAGTGCCTCTCCCCAAATAGGTTTAAAACATTAGATTCAGGTTACCAAACAGTCTCTTGGATCAGGGTTAATTAAATGAGTGTTGAAATCTAATTAAGGACTGGTCCAGGTGATAATTAGCAGGAAATGTATGCATTAAAATATTCATTTGTCGATGAGCTGCAATTAAGAGTGTGATTTGGGGAACGATCAATAACTACTTCATGTGACTTTAAAAAATGAAAAGTCATCCAACCTTGAGCAGAAATGCAGGGGAATTTTGGCTAGATTTTTTTTTCTTGCCCCCTTCTGCTTTCTGTTTTGTTCTTAAAACTTCTGAAGACTTTTCTCCACCCTTGAATAGAGCATTCATCCCTTCATCCCTTTGTTTTCCTAACGCATTTCTTTCAACCCCTTTGCTATTCACCACATTGTTTGAGTGGGTTATAGATTTATTAGAGAGAGACTAACAGGTCAAAAAGAAAGATTCTTTGGCAATGAAAATCACTTCCTCCCAGAACAGGCTGCTAATACAGAGGAACATTGTTGATTGTGTGGCCTTAGATTGTCTGTTGTGGTTTTTTTAGCAAGTCTTTATTCATAACTGAGGATCTGGACAAGCTATTGAATATGCATAGCTTGGACTTAGGTACACGTACATCCATAGTTGTGGTTTACTATGCTATTCCTAATTCATAACAGAGCAATTCTGCTTTCATTGAGACTGTTTTTTTCTGTTTACATGTGCATAGGGGTGTGTGTAAGCCAGTTAATAACACTCCCCCTGTGCAATCCCATCTCTGCTAGAAAAATGAGAGCCTTGCAACAGCCCAGTTTGTCTGGCATGGAGCTGGTCTTCCTCTACTACCACTGCCATAGGCTGAGCTGGCAATTTGTCCACTGACTGTATTTCCATCAGTGAACACCAGTGCATCAAAAGGGAAGCATACCATAGGAGCACGATGATTTCAGATGCTCTTTGTCAGTCTCCTGACAGCTCACCTGCCCATCTCCCCAGGCTCAGTGGAAGCCCAGCTCCCAAGGCAACTGTCTGCCTGCTGTCAGGGCTGCTGCCAGCTCCCTCCTCCACTGCACCCCTCTTTCCCCGGGGAGATCGCACTGTGGGGAATCAACTGACCCATGAAGTTAGGACATCCTTGGAGCCAGCCAAAGAAATATCAGTGCCTTCCTTCCTCATCAGATCTATTTCTTTCCATCTCTGCCTCTTGTCATAAATTTAAGAATCACAGTTGCTGACCTTTCATCTCATTTTGGGGAGGAGAGGGATTACTTTCACTCCCCAAACCTCTACATATTTCACAGACATCTGCAGCCAGCTCCAACGATCATCTGTAGTTCTGCACCAGTGTTGAGTGAAGACATAACCTAAACATTGTAAAGCTTTTCTGGAAAAGTGAAACATTAAATGCAGACTCTTCTGTAGTAGCCTTTGTTGACTACTGCTCATGGAGACGAAACTCAGGTCTATCAGCTACTATTTTTGTTCCCCTAGTTTAACAGAGCTGGAGATACACTGCTTCATGATGAGACATACACTCTGAACAACATACTGAAGGCTGGGCAGGAATTTCTTGCTGGATATGGGGGTTACAAGACACAGCAGTGTGAAAGGGTTATCCAGCTCAGGAGGTCTGTCATGAACAGAGCTAACATGTTCCATTAAAATAAATCAGTTCACAAATCCTACTACAATCATCCAGCAAAAACTCCTACATTTTGCTGCATTGAGTCCAGCTCTTATTCTCTGATGATGACAACCCACTGGGCCAGAAGGTTTTCTTTATACTGAATGAATAGAACAACAACTTTTGCAGCGAGAAGATTAATGACAGCCTGGAAGTTTGAATTTTGGAGGAAACTAGGAACCCGGCTGCTGGCCTCAGTCATTCACCCGCCAGGGTCCTTTACTTCCTACCTGATGCTCTCAGCCTCTTGCAAAAGTTGAATTCAAAAGGTCTAAGAGGTTGCATGGAAAAAATCAGCACCAGCTGGATCCCATGCTACCAAATCTGTGTTGGATGTATGGATTGCATGAGCCAATGTGTATTGGACTAATTCCCTTCTGTGTCTCCTTTTGTTTCCTGTCCTACAGGGAGCCTCTTCAAGCCTGGTGGTGAAGTTTGCAGATACAGACAAGGAGCGTACAATGAGACGTATGCAGCAGATGGCGGGACAAATGGGCATGTTCAATCCCATGGCCATCCAGTTTGGAGCATATGGTGCCTATGCACAGGCAGTAAGTATAGACATCTGGCTCTACACATATTCCTGGGAATGGAAATAACACCTAGAACTGCACAAAAGCACACATGAGCAGAGGAACAACTGGGCAGAGGAAGAACCAGTGATTTCTCCATTAAACTGCTTACAAAATGGGAGAAAACTAAACCATGCCCAGGCAAGTCTCAGAGCTGAAATAACCAATTCTAGCAGTAACTAAAAGTCATCATGTGTGCACCCACACAGACATTGCCTATGGGGTCTAAGCCATTGCTCTCAAATCCAAACTAGCCTTTGAGGATTTGGTTAAAATAGGCCTGAATTCAGCTTATCCTAGTTCTCTGCCCTATATCAACACTATCTGGTGCCAAAGAAGGTTTGTGAGGGCAGAAACACCTTTCTGGCCCTTCTCTGCTATCAAGCCACACAGACTGAGCTGAACAGGGGAGATGGCTCTGATCCATTTGTCCAGGCCCTTGCTGACCCATGCATCATTGTGGATACTTTTGGAGTGACCACAGGATAAAATGGCAGCTGTTGACAGAAGTGTTTTAATATTCATGAAATTGTGTTAAATAATACTAAAATAGACAAGCAGACATATGCACATATACAGTCCTGGATCCCCAAAACAGTATGATTTAAGCAAACTGGGAAAACACATCAACTATTTGAAGCAGTATTTCACTAACTTAAGGTATCCCACTTACATACCAAACTTGGACCCTGGGCCTCTGAGAAAATGTGACTGTACAGGGAGCTGGGCTCTTGACGAAGCTCTGAAATGGATGCCTCTAACTTAACTACCTTTCTTTAGGCTACAATTAACAAGGACCTGCAAGACAAGATCAGGTTCAGGTAACGGTCTCTCTGTTAGATGTTTCAGAGGGAAATAGAGATGATCCCTGCAGCAACCAGACACAGTGCTTCCAGGTGACTTTGGCTGACTTCTCTGGAGCAGATTTATAGGCAGTGACAGTGCTTCATCCATTTTGTGGTAAATGTAGCCCTCTTGTACTCTGTGCTCTATTTGTGTACAGGTGGGAAATACCATTAGTCCTATTTTCCAGAATAATATCTTCCTGAATGAGAGAGACCAAATGCTTTGCCTTAGGTATACAGGTCCAATTCAGGAATCACATTCCAGAGTACCCATACTCCTTCCGGCACACTGACCACAAGGCTCTGTTTTCTTCCCTGATTACTTTCCCATGTGTTGGCACCATGGATTTCCCACCACATCCACATGTTCTTTCTTTAACTTGAGGGCCTTGAAATTTCTGTCCTCCACTGAGTGTCCTATGTGTCACTGAACACTTGGTAAAACCCAGCCTACACTTTGCATGAGCCATATAGAGTCATGAAGACGTACTGTAGAGCTCCACAGAAGTCCCCCGGCTCCTTCCAGATGCACCCCCTGGTGTTCTAGACATTTTTTTTTTCTCTCCACTAGAAAAATTCTGGTTTTCCATCCATTTTGACCTCTTCATTTTTATTTCCAGTGTAAGACAATCTTTGACGCTTGCTTTGTCCCCTACTCTCCTCCTGATATGTTCCCTCCTGAGTCTGGCTGTGTTTAACTGTCTTCCTGGCCAGGGAAGGCTGCAGGAGAAGGAAAAGAGACAATAAATCACAGATGAGCCCAAGTCAGTGGCCAGCAACCAGGCAGAGGAATGCAGCATCTGTGTCCCCAAGTACCAGAGGAATTAACAGGAGGTGACCCATGGGCATCTCAAGACAAACATCTATAGAGGTTGTCAGACAGGAGATGTGGCTCCAGTGTTACACTACAGGAATTGATCAGGCAGAATAGAAGTGGTAAAGGCACAGCTGTCCTGATACCATGCTCCAAAAACTCTTGCAGAATTTTTAATCAGAGTAATTCTTCTGATTACCAACTTAGGTTTATGTTGATATAAAAAAAGGTTGCAATCTGCACCTTTGCACCACAAAAATTTCCCTCCATCTATTTGTCACAGGACATTGTGAAAGTAGGTGCTTGAGTGAGGATTTATCGCTTGAAGGAAGAGTGAAAGCAGTTCATGGGTCTGCTCTATGAAACTAATGAGTACTTTTCCTGTTGATTTATGTGAAAGCAGAATTGGACCCATCCTCTTCTTTTTTCCTGGTAAATATGCTAATAAGGGGGAAAGAATAAGTTTTAGATCTTGACCCATTGGATATGACAAGCTGGTGACACCAATTACCCTGGGGACTTCAGAGCTGTCTAAATGATGGGATCACATTTCCATGTGGCGCCTGTACACCCAGAGCGTGCTCAGATGCTGTCTCTCAATCAGGCTCCCTATCTGTGTCTCTCGCTATCTGCTTCATCTCACAGTCTCACACAAAAGGGAATGAAGGGAGTGTCAAGGCTCTGTGACATTCCCTTGGTCCTGATTAATCCACCTCGGACTGCTGGCTCTTAGATATCAGGGTGATTGGCACCTCACAAATGCTAGCAGGAGATGGAGAGATCGATAGGGGGAGAAAGAAAGGGAGGGGGCTGTTTTATTCTGCCCAAACTGAAGTTGAAGAGCTAAGGCAAGTCAGGAGAAGGGAAGGTGAAACAGTGAAAATGCAAGAGCAGGACAGTGATGACAGCTGATGCCACTGCCACCAGCAACTCGTGTGACCTTGGGTGAATTGTTTGACCCACTGGTCTCATTTCCGCATGTACAAATTAAGCTGATGTTCATATTTATTTATTTTCCCTTCTCCCTCAGGGACATGGCTCTCTCTTGTTCTGTCTCTCCATGGGTTTTCACACAAGGGTATGATGGTAACACAAGTTTAACTGTCTCAGTGTTTAATAATAAGGCCAGGACTAACATGAGACTTTAGGCTCTCTGATTTTTACTTCTAATCTGTCCTCACAGCTATCCTACTGCAGTCCAAGCTTGGCAGATTTCTCCATTTGCAGCTTCCTAAACAATCCCATGAGAGCTGGTTAATCAATAGTTTCTAAAGGTCTGTCCCCATAGAGGAGGTTTCCAGGTCCCCTAGGCTGTTTCTTGCTGAATCTCCCTCAGAGAGGCATCATGCACATTGCCAGGACTAGATTAGCCCCTGCAAAATGTCTCCATGCATCAAAGTGGCCAGTGCAGAAGAAACCCATGTAGTGCAGCTGTTCCAGAGATGAGTGGGCAGCCATGGATTTGAAAACTCAGCAGCACCACTGGGGAGAGGCAGCGAGGGACTCAGTCCATCAGTGTTTGACTGACAGTGGTTAGTGTTGTCACCAGGACTGCTTTGGGCTCCAGCTCCTCTTTAAGTTACCTCCTTTGCAGGTCAGCAAATGGCCATCACACAGTTCAATCCCTGCTGCTGCTCACTGCCAAGCCACTCAACCTCAGCTTAAGCAACTTTAACCTTAATATTAGCCATGGCCTCACATTGGCTAAGCAACTAGTCCTTGGGTTCAGCAGCCATATGGCTTTAGATCCAGAGATAAAAATTCAGGAAGCAAAGGGAGTTCTCCTCTGTGTGTTGTTTTGCCTTCCCTCCTCGTATGCTACCTCCAAGCAGAACAGACAAATCTTGGCACTAACTCACTGTGCTGTTTCAGTGACACAGAAAGTCACATCAGACCCACTTCACTTGTTTTGTATGCAGCTCAAGCTAAGTCAGGCTTCATAGCTCCCTAGAGCTCCCAGAGCCCTTATACTAATTTTGTTCAGGTTTTTTGGATTGTTTTAGGTTTTTTATTTTCAGCAATATCTTCCCATACTCATTTAACTTCCCCTTTTATGGAGCAATTATTTGTGTTAGTTCACACATGTATAGGGCACCAGACCTTTTTGTTGTCAGGTTACTGTAGATCTACATCAGCTGGTTATTGATAGCTGTTTCTGCAGTCTCAGTTAAGTCCAGCTTGAGGTATAGATCTGAACTCATCCTGGAGAGAAGGAGACTGATACTAGGTGGCACCACCTTTGATTTGCTACCAATCGAGTGCGAACCTGCAGACACACACTCAAGCACAGAGCAGAAGAGCACACCTTCTTAGATCCTGGTAAGAAGTGGGATGGCCAAGCCCAAAATAATGATCAGTAAAAGTCAAACCAGAATATAACGGTGATAGTATAGTGCTGGCTCAAATAAGAAACAATGTCAAAAGTTCCTGAATGTCTTCTTTCTGTCAAGAAAGTGGCAAGTAGTTAGCAGCTGTTTCATGTCACTGCTGCCCCACCATGAAGAAAAGGAAATGTGCACAGATCAAAAAGGGCTAGGAAGACAGGAAAATACAGAAGAACAAAGTAAGAACAAAGGAAGAAGCCTTAGAAAGTGACAGATACTGTATAAATTATTTAATTTTTAAATTATTTAAACCAAGATCAAAGTCATAAATCAAGTTTGCATAAAAAATGGGGTGGGAGTTTTAGCCACGATCTCCTGGACAAATTCCAGCCGTGGGACTGACTGCATCCTGCAGCAAGGGACAAGCATAGAGTTAGTGAGTAAAACCAGACAGATGAGGACAGAGGCGACATAGGCAGTGGTAACATCTGCTGTCAGGCCTGAAGCAAGTCCTTTTCCATTAGTAAATCCCAGTGTCTCTCTCCCTGAAAAAGTACAAATGGTTGCAACTCTTGAACTGCAGTGAATAACTGCAACAAATCTGAGCATATCCAGCACAGCAAAGCTCACAGTCATCATAAGTGGTCACCTTGGGAAGTTAGGGCAGCAGTGACTGCAAAGCTGACCATAAAAGTGTAGGTGTGCCCCTCTGCCTCTCTGTCTCAACTCCTGTGGAGATGAAAGGATATTTCTGTTAAACAACCTGAGGTAGTGCTGAAGGGAATAATCACTTCCTCCAATATTTATTCAATTCATACTGTGAAATTATTTTAGAAACATACTTTAAAAATACAGCTAGCCTTATGAAAACAGGGAAAATTTACTGAATACACTATCTTCTTCATATAATAATTAATATATCTCAATGACCAAAATGGGCCAGTATATTTTATAAATACTATCTGTTACACAAGTCACTTGTTCTCATCTGTTCCA